AGTTTCAAAGTTTGGGAAAACACTATCCAATCAGTATTGGGTTGAGCATCGATGTTGATGTCTCCCACGCTCTGAAAAGTTTCGAATTGTTACTTGAAGACAAGGGAAAATCAATCGGTATTCATTATTTTCCGTCTTCTTTTTATGTTTGTTCAGTGAAGTGTTCATTGTCCGATCATAAAAATCTTTTGCAAAAGTTTTTGTTATCCGATTTGTTCATTAATTGATCACCCACTGTATAATCTTATCTTATCTAGTGTGTAGAGTTCAAGGCAAGAAGAATCACTACAGTGGAACCCTAATTAACCCAAATCAGTCAGAGAAAAAAAAATTCGGACCTTTTGAGTTAAAAAGTTTAGAGTTATGAGGTTCAGCTAAATAAGAAGATTTTGTGCATTGGTTTATTAGTGATCCATAAAATAAAGCTATCCATATGATATTTTCATGGGTCTTATGTAGAATCGTTGTATCAATATAAACCTCTTGATGTTGTCCAGAAACTCTAATATACTTAACGAAATGGTTAAATAAGCTACTGAGAAATGCTTTCCCAAATGGTTGATCCATTCACCCCTAAGTGTTTAGTAAGGATTTTTTAAACTGTGATATTTCACATCTAGAATTGATCAGATTTTTTAATTTTTGATCACTAACATACCATTATGATTGTTATATTTGTAAAATTTTGCTGCAAGATTAAAATTTTTACTTAGAATCAAGCTGAAGAATTAATTAAAAGAAATTTTTTTTAAATTAATTTATCAAAAATCTATTTATTTATTATGTCAGCTAATTGGAGAAATCCATTAGCAATCAAATAAAACAAAAAAAAGTTTTTTAAAAAAAAAGCAGGTTTGAATGACAATTACAGCATCTAGGCCACACATGCTGTCTGGAAGTCACCATTCCCTGCCCACCGTCAAATGACATGATGATTTTTTCTTCTCATATGTGGTTCCCACGCTTTATAGAAAATTTCTGACTAGTTTATTTAATAGATGAATGTTCATTATTTTATTTAAAATAAAATTTTGGAGATTTTATGAAAATACTGTATCAAAACCTCTATTTGAGTTAAATAATTTGATGAATTTGAGTTAATTAGTTTAATTTAACATGTAAATCCCTATGCTAGAAAACTGGGTAAAGAAAATGAGTTTGAGTAAATGTGACTTCAAGTTATCCTGGTTCAAGTTAACCAGGTTCAAGTTAACCAGGTTCCACTGTATCAACAAAAAATTCATGATGTTGAAAAGACAATACTTGATAGTGTTCTGGAACAATAAAAGGTGATATACAGGATGTAATGAAACTTTGTACCAATATTTTAAAGGAAGATTCTAGGATCAAAAATAAACTTAAATGCTCCATAAACATTTGTCAAATTTAACTGTTTTTGAGATCTGGCCTGCCAAAGAAAGATACTTGCACTAGAGTTGTCAACTTTTTCAACTTAAAAGCAATTTTATATTTCTTGACTCTATAAATGAATTGAAGTGAGTAAATGTTGCCTAAGCAGGCCCTGCTGTAATAAATGTAAGCTAACTCTTATCCACTTTATGATTTTGCAGTATTCATCTGTTTTACAGTAAAAGAAATGGTTGTTAAATACAAGATTTTCAATATAAATTTAAATAACATTTTGTTTTTTAAAAATTAAACAGAGAATTTTACTTAACTGAAGAAGTACAATACATATATATCACTCATAAAACTAACACCAGCAAATAACAAGAAAAATTATTAATTGATTATTTATTTGTTTATTGTTTAAATAATATACATATATTGAAATTTTATCCCAAACACATAAATTTTAACATATTTGAATCATATAATCAGTTTGAACTTTTAAAAAACATTCTATTTTTGTTAGCCGTTTATTCGATATTGTATATACCTGAGGACAGGGCCGGTGTGAAGCAGGTTCAGCACATTTATCAGAATCCAGCCCTGCGGTGTACAAAAACTTATCAAACATTTTGCAGGATCTCCTCTATAGTAGATTGAATATTCGGGTATGTGTGGAAAATGCCTTGAACAAAATTGCCAACAACGCATCTGACAAGAAATTAAAAATTGAGATTTTGTCTAGAGTGTGAAAGATAAATGAATTTGAATTTATACCAGTTTCATCATTTGGTATGAAATATTATCAAAAATTAATATCGTCAGCAAAGTATTGCAAAATCAAAAGATGCAAATAGATTTGGCCATGAAGCATCTAAAAGGTCTGAACATATTCTTTGTGGAATACAGAAATGCAGGATTCAGCAAAGCCGTGATCACAGAAAATGAAGTTGCGAAGGAAATAGACATAGCCCAGATTTCAAGTCATCATACATGGGCAAAAAAATAGAAATTATTTGATTATGAAGGACAAGATGAATTGTTGACAATCAGTGACGAAGAATACTTCTGTATACATTACTTTTTTAAAATAATAGATACTGCGTTAGTATCGTTTAAAAGTAGATTTGAATTATATGCAAACCACCAAAATATTTTTGGTTTTCCATATATGAATGAGATTGCAATTTAGATGACAAATATTTATTAAAATGTTGTCAAGATCTTCACTTACATTTGGAAGAAGATATCAATGGAACTGAAATGTTTGAAGAGATTAAGATGTTCCGATCAATAACACAAGCCAATTATTCGGCTCTAGATGTGATGAAATACATTATAAAAAACAATCTTTCGGAAGCATACCCAAATTTATTAATTGCATTACAAATATTGTTAACTACGCCAGTAACCGTGGCTTTTAGACAATTTTTGATTTTTGAACAAAAAATTTCTATTTTCATTTTTATTTTTGATTGTAAATAGAATAAGTATTTCTTTCACATTACATTTATTTCTGTCACTAGTTTTTTTTTTTTTTTTGTTTGTTTAATAAAAATTTATTTCAAAAAATGGGGTGGCCTTGTATTTTTGCAACACACCTTATTGTAAAACTGTTGCCAGGTAAAACTTGTCATTTATATCAGTACTTTCATCAAGAGTAACACTTAAACAAAACAATACTTTAGAAGAAATGTGTTTGTCTTTTATATTTTCTGATACATGTAATTTGATTGTATGTTTTTTGATTGTTGTTGTGAATACAAGTTACTTCTTTTATCTGAGACAATATTTTTTTATTTAAAAATCAATGAACAAAATTTCAGCATTTCATAAAATCTTTTATGTATACTCTATCAGTGAAAGGTTTTATTTTTTTCTCTATACATAAATAAGTTCTATAACTTCATTTATAGTTTTCTTTTGACTTTCCCATCTCATGACTGAATACATTTATTTTTTGCTTCTTGTATTTGAAAATAGTTCTTCTTATGACTTCAGTTTTCTTATCAGTCTTTAAATGATGATTCGTGCTCTTTTTGAAAATGCTTTTGAACATTCGATGTTTGGCAAATAACATTTTGCAATGCAGTGCACAAACAGCTTGATTTTTTCTTCTTCCTGTATGAATACATGATCCTTGATCCATGAAGCTTCAAATGAACAAATATCAAATTCTTGCTTTTTAGCAGATATTTTAACATAATTTCATCCTTATAATGCTAAATTGAAACTGATTTTACTCTGGATTACCAGATGTCAATATTATTTTTGTTAAAAATTTTATACAGTATATAAAAATTTTACATTCCTAGTATCTTGGAAATAAATTAACAATAATTCAAAAGATAAAATATATTATCATTATACTTTCTCTAAGGAATTTTGAAAACGAAAAAAAAAAAAAAACAAACATTTTAGATATGCATTAGATTTGCTTGTGGTAAAAAATAACAGCTTTCATATTTCTATTGCATCCCACACAGTTATTTAGTAATAATTGTTACCAGTAGAACTGTATTTTTGTGGATTGAACAGCATATCACATGTAATTGTGGCAGACCAACATGCCAGTTAAACTACAACTAAAAAATAAAATTAATCAGACTAACAAAATTAGTTGTTAAATAAATGTTAAAGAAAACATTCTTTCCAGTACAATAAACTAATAACACTGTAATTTGACTGACTTAAAATCAGGAAGAAAATTTTTTCTTGCAGTGCAATAAAACAATTAGTGTCTTATTCACCTTAGATGTAGTTAGTAGTCAGTTGTGGGCTTCACTGACAATTTTCCCATATCTTAAAAATAACTCCTTCCTCTCAAATTTCACACAAAGCAGATATTAATAGATGTAAGTTGAGATAATTTACAGCAAGATTCTGAAATTTGATATGTTTATTTTTAGATCAATATATTCTCTATCAACTGGATAAATAGACAATATTTATGAAAATTAATTTTATTAAGGGACATTTATTCATCTATTTTTACTTTTTATATGCATACACTAATTATACACACAAAAATAAAAGTAAAAATAAAAATTAATAATAATAAAGAAATAGATAAATAAACAAGTGATGATATAATGGGCACCAACTAATGCCTATATTTTATCTGTCTGTGTTTTTTTCTTTTGCTGGTATGTTCATAATGCACACGCTTTCCATGCTGTGGAGACTTTATATGATTCTCTGAAGTTTATAGCCTGTCCTGCTAGACTGCTCTTGTGAATATGCCAGGCTTCTGCATATTTAATATGTCTCCTGTCCTGAACCTTATGTATTATTTCTGCTCTTTCCCATTTCACTGAAACCTCTGCTGGGTCTGCTAATATAGCACCCAACAGAGGTTTCAGTGAAATGGCATATTCATTGTCCAGACTGGAAGGCAATAATTAGTTTTGATTAAACATTAGTGTTTTTTAATCTGCATAAATTTTATATTTTGTTAGAATTTTTCAGAACATAAAAATTTGCTCAATTGCAATGAATTGTAGCTATATAATGATAATTTTTAAATGTGAATTATTTTTATTTATTTGAGAGAGTGTGTATTTATAACATACATAATGTTATAAATACACATTCTAAAAATTGTCATGTAGATTGAATTATAAAGAATTTAAATTCTTTTTATTTTGTAGAAGGAAATGCTAAGAAAAGAAGACAACTAAAACAAGAAAGAACAATGAAACGTAGTCGAATGAATAATGTAAAAGATTCCATTAAAACAATTTCTGGACAGAATAAATCCTTACAAGACACAGGAAAATCTAGATGTAATTATAATTTATCATTTAGGAGGGACCACTGTGATTCAAGAAGGAAAAGAAAAAATAAAATACAATCTGGACAAACAGATGGTGGTAATGATGACAATGATGATAATGATAAATTATCAGATGAAGATGTCAGTGAAATGCTAAATCCTATGAAAAAAAAATTAACTAAACATGATAAATCATATACAAAGTTAAAATCAAAAATTTCAAATGATGAATTAAATGGGATTCTTAAAGATAAAAAATATTCAGTTTGTTTACAATCAAATAAAAAATTAAATTTGCAAGAAATTATGCCGCCTTCAAATAAAACAGTTGAAGAGACTAGTAAGAAAAGAGGTAAAGGACAGAATAATCAGCATTCTCAGAATGATGTGTCTTGTGATAGTGGAACACAAATTGAAAACTGTGAGCAATTTGAAAGACAAAAATCAACAAGAACCCATATCAAAATTAATACAGAAGCATCATTACAAACAAATGAAGTTAATATCAGTATTTCTGATGATAGTGATTTAATTAAACAAAAAGAAGAGTATATTCAAAAATTTAAAGATGAAAAAAATTCAAAAACATATCAAGTAGATACTTTAGAACAGCCTCAACACGATCATTGCTATACTACTGTTTTAGGAAAACGGAGAGGCATTGAAACACTTCATTATGAACTCTCTTCGTCAGAAGATGAAGATAATGCTAATGATACAATATCTGCAAATTTAAAAAGTGAATCACCTATTCATTTAATAATTTCAACTCCTTGTTTTCCATTTATATTTACACCTTTGCTTCCCAATATTTCACAAGTATTAGAAGTTAGTTCTGAAAATGTTAATGGTAAGTTATAAAATGTATTACTTTTTAATTTCTAGATAGTAGCAGTCTTTGTTCAGTTATTGCTATTTGCGTATTTTTTTATTCCTCATGCATTTCTTGTAAAATTTTATTGCTTCATATTAACTTACAGCTTTACAAAAGTTAATCTTTTTAAATTAAATTTTTACAGAATTTGAGATAATATTACTAAATAACATTTATTTATAAGTTTAACACCTAGTTTTGAAAATAAGCATGCACACAAAAACAAAAATATATTATGAAATTATGTTGTTATAATAATTAATTAGTATGTGTTCATCTAAGGTACCTTTTAAGTGTCAATTTTTGTACATATACATTCATCATAAAATATAAACTTGAGTTATGGGAAACATTTTGAGTATTTTATGAAATATCTAGAGCAAGGTTTACCAAATGGTGGATTGTGGTCCACATCTGGTCTGCAAAAACACTTATTTTTCCCCCCTCAAAGTAATTTTTTAAATCAGTAAAAAATTAGCACAGTGTGTTAATGAATATAAAATGGTTATTACAGTTCAGTTTTTTATTTACCACGAAGTGCACAGAAAGTAATGAAATAACAATAAACAAATTTGTTTCTATTTTAATCTGCCCCTACAGAGAAACTTTTGTGCCAGTTGTACATATTGTATTTTGTCTTGGTGATGTGATAAAAACCCTTTTACATTGGTTACAGGATTATGAACCATTTTTGGTGTATTAGGTTGCAATATAAATTAGTTCTGTATTTGAGTGTGCCACTTTCTTTTTCAAACACAAAACAGTATTTAAATATGACCTTCTGTCCACTGTGATCTACTGTGAGAATCAATTGTACCAACTATATTTCAAAGTTTCACCAGGTAGTTCTGTAAAGTACTATATTTATTTTTCCGACTTTCCAACGAATATCGACACTACTGTGTGCCGGAAATAGCCGTTCCCTAACGGGTACTTTACGCGGATTCGCGTTAGTGTGCCAGGCCTGGACTTTAAGCGTGCACCGAATTAAATAATGACAAAGTTTGTCAATAACAAAATCAAATATTTAATTAAACTTCTAGTAATAAACTATATACAGTATTTAGTAAAAATCAAACAATAATTTATTCAATGAAATTCAACAAGAATCAATCCGACAAACTCAAATCAATCTATTTCTAACTTAATTCTATTCCCCTTTGGAATTCGACAAAATCAAAGAATTAACTTATAAACAATAATTCTTATAAATTAAAGATCCTAATCGTCACCTCAATATACTAGGAACCTATTTCCTCAAATTCTCAAGACTTTCTATAATCGTCGATCCACAAATCGAATAAATTCAAAATCGCCTTGGAACTATTTGATCCTATCGGACACCTCTCTCGTTCACTGCTACGAAGCTCACCAAAGCTCGTTGCTATCAGGAATTCACCTCGTTCGTTTTCACTTGAGTTAGAGGCTTTATAGTGTGAGGTGACGTCACAATTCTGAATGAGATCACTCTCCTCATTTACATACTTATCTGTAACATTACATTTTTCTCGTTTATCTGGCAGATTATTTTCCGACAATACTTCGCTAACCTTTTACATTATTCTTTTTAACAATTATCGGGATGCTTTATTCTTTTAAGGTTTAGCGATTTCTAACTGGGTTGTGGGGTCTCCCCCCTTTTTTTCTCGGTGCGGACTTACTTTTTTCCGCTTGGGAAGCGCAAGTGTGCGCGAGTTTTCTACGGCGCTTTTCTTTCGTCGGTGAGTTGGTTTTTTCTTCTATTTTTAAGTTACTAAGGTGAATGGTGAGGAAACCTTCGTCTTAACTAAACATAAGCCCCAAACAAAATATAATGAAAGCAAAATAAAAGTAAAATAAAAATAAAGCTCAGACTTGGTTCCTTACAGTTCAAAGTAAAAATTGTCATTACTCACACCAAAATTGAACTTTCATAAAATTGTATTATGCTTTATTTTGTAATCTATTTATTTATTTTTTTGTACTGTTGCAAAAAATCAACACACATTAGAGCCTACATGCAATAATCAAATTCTTCACAAGGAATTTGATAAAGAAATAAATTCATTACATTAAAATAGGTTCACTATAAACGTTTGAGTAACCAGTAAAATATTTATTCGAAAAAGCAAACGTTTTCAACAATATATAAAATAGATTCAATGAAAACGTTTGTTTTCATTGAATTTATTTTATATATTGTACCAGTACCTGGTGAGGAGGAACCTTTACACAAAGATTCATTACATTATCATAATATAAGAATACAACATTGAAAAACAGTTTTGTCACAAATATTGCATGTTAGTAAGTTGTAAAGCAATCTCTGACATTGGTCAATTTATTTTAATTGCTAGATTGAGTTTGTCAATTTCTGATTTGTAACAAAAACTGTTCTCTAATGATGTTTCCTTATACTGTAATATTATTATAAAGTTTTTATTCTTTACTATCATTTCATATACAGAATTTGATTACTATTGCATGCAAGCTTTAAGATATATCAATTTTTAGACAGTGTATTTATAAAATTTCTTAAAAAATTAGAATAAGAAGGTTTGTTTTAGCAATTTGACATCTTATTTATCAGGAATTCAATTTTTAATATACAAAAACTTTTTTGAATTAGTGCAGTTCTAAACTAAACTTTTTGTTGCTCATATAGTTTATTGGACTGTAGAGGTATGGCAAGTTTTTAAAATGAACCTTTTATCAAAATTAATTGGTAACCATGAGTCTAGAACATCTATTAAAAGTTGCATAGTAAAGTCTACACAGTATAGGGTATTGAGTAAATTGATCATTGTGTTACTTTTGGAGAACAAGTATTGTATATGTATCATATATGTTCTAGCATTCTAGTATTTCCATGTTACATTCTTTAATTAATAAAAGGTAATGAAATATAACATTGGAATCACATGCCCATTGACTAATGCATTGGAGTCTATTTTCTTGTCTGCTAATGGCTGTGTAGTGTTTGTTGACTCTCTTGTCTCTGTTGCAACAGGTAGAATTGATGTAATAATAGTAGTCAGAACTTTTAAGTATCTTTATAATATAGACACCTGTTTCATTGTCAATTCTGTACATGTCTTTATTCCTTAAAATGTGCATCATTGATAGAATCTCTTTACTATAAATTTGTGAAAAAAATTTCAGGTATATGGGTCTTAATAGTTTATTCATAGAGTAACCAGTAATTGTTGTGGTATAGATTTGTTTTGTTAGCTTTTAGTAAAGTTTGATATGTAATCAATTAATAAAGATATAAGCTTGTCAGTTTATTTCTCAGGAAAATCATGGTTAACTATAATGTTTTGTGGTTCTTCATTTTTCTCTTATATTTGCTCTATTTATAAGGGAATTGGTGTTGCTAATTAATAAGAAAATTTTTTATAGGATTTTCATTGTATAAACAACTTTGCAGAAGTGTTAGCAAAATACTTTTGTGTCAAATTTTTATTTATTTTTGAAAATGTAATGTCTAAGTAGTTGATCAGCAAATTTAAAATGTTCAGGTTGTAGTTTTATTCCCACTATATTATTTTTATTGATATTATTATTATGTAGGGTGTAGTGAGTTATACTCAGTTGACACCAGTTGCTGTGTGCTATGCCAAAACAAAAATTGTGTGTGTCAATGTGTGTATCTGTATTCTGGAATTTCCTAACAATATGACATGTATTCAATATAGTGGCTTTCTGTAGTGTGATGTATGTGTTTCTATTCAATTGTAATATTGTGGTATGACACCTCTAGAGGAGAGAATGACAGGTTCGATAATCACCCTATCCATCCTCCACAGATGCCTTATTTCTTGGGTGAGTTCTGTGTACTTGCTAATTTTTTCAGTGCATGTGTTTTGTACATTGTGAGTGTTTGGAATGGCTATGTCTATAATGTATGTGATTTTATTGTGTTTGTCAATGAGTGTGATGTCTGGTCTGTTGTGGTAAATTGTTTTGTCTGTGATTATGGCTCTGTCGTAGTATATTTTGTGCGTGTTGTTTTCCAACACTGGTGAATGTCTATCAAGTTGTGTTTCTTTGCAAGCTCTTGGTGTATTATATTTGCTACTTGATTATGTCTGTGTAAATAATCTGTCTGTGCCAAGAGCTTGCAACCAGAAGTGATGTGTTGTATAGTTTCTGGAATGATGTGACATTTTCTGAATGTGTCATTTGTGAGTGTTGTATCTTTGAGTATATGTTTTCTATAGTTTTTAGTATTTATGATCTGATCCTGTATGGCAATCATGAACCCTTCTGTCTCCCCAACAAGGCATCCCCAAACTAACCAGCTGTTTGATGCAGTTTTGTCAACAAAATCCTGAACCAGGTCATAGGGATGCCTGCCATGGAGTGCCTTTTGAACCCACAATTGCTTAATGGTGTCTAGGCTTTTTGTATCTTTTTATATGTTGTGTCATGTCCATATGTTGTGAGTGTAAATTTAATGATGTGTTGTTATCATCATCATCATAATAATAAACAATATCTTTTAAGAATAATTCAGAGTGCCAAATGCTAAACAAGTTATCAAAATAGTGGCAAAACATTTTTGTATGTTTTTATAATTGGCTTCTCTATCCAAGAGATATCTTTGCAAAATCCCTGTAAACTGGATACTCCTTGGGAATTTCTGATCTTCCATTCTAATTTAAAAGTCGTCTTTCCAGGAAAAGTAGGAGTTGAATAAAAAGAGATAATTTGTATGCAGTACCACTTAAGTTGTGGTATTGACAAATCTGATTTCTGCTGATAGTTGCTTCAATTTTAATAGATGTAATCAGATTAACATAATCACATATTATGAGTGTTTCTCCTTCTGTGATGTCCATTTCAGAGATGATGAACTGAAGCTGCACTAGGCAAAGATCAAAACATGTTCCTTTTTTTTAATTAAATTCTTAATTGTCTTAAAGTAACTGTCTTTTTCTCTTTTTTTCAACTTTAAAACTTGGTATTATATCATAAAATGTTTTATTAATATTTACAATATTAGAAAAGTCTGTCTTATTCCTATAGCTGACAGTATAGATTATTTTAATATTATCTAGAATCAAAGTGTATTTAGTTAGTTTATTTTATTATATCAATTGGCAAGTTTGATATTTAACTAAGAATGATATTTGGTCATGAAGTTATATTGGCTTATTCCAACTGAAATGAAATAATTGTTACAAATTGATCTTCTAATTAGAATACATGATATTGATATAATATTAGATTAGCAATTAGATTTCACATTATTATTATTTTAATTATAATTATATTATTTCATATAAAAAAAGAGAGAATTTATGATTTGAAATTGAATTTTTTTTATAGATGATAACTCAAAACAAATGGTAAAAGTGTCATGCGCACAAGATACTGAAGAAAGTTCTTCATCAGTTATCCAGAAACCTAAACAAACTCGTATACGTAGAATTAATAGGATTATTATTGCTGAAGAATTGAAATCAGATTCAGAAGAGGACAGTGAAAATATACCATCACTTGTTTCAGATAAAATTTCTACTATTGTTGAACATAAGGATTCAACAGATAAAGAAAAACAGACAACATCTGACAATTCAAAAAATCATAATGTTGAAGGAACTCCTGAATGGGAAAAGGTATATCAATTATTTATGAAAATAAGTTTATTTTTCAATATTTTAATGGAAAATTCATTTATAAAAAAAATAATAAAATTAATAAATTACAATAACAAGTATAAAGACAAAAATATTTTTCAAATATACAAAAGTAAATGAAATTTATTAATTAAAAATTAAAATGTTTTATTAATGATTTTGGCAACATATTTGTTTTAAAACTTTAAATAAAACAAATATTTTGCCAAAAAGTCATGGTATTTGTTACTTTAATATTAGTGGTGTTCTTAAATCTATATTAATATATTTATGAAGTTTGATTACATATACAAAGCAACTTTTGTGAGTTAAAAAATGCTCCAAAATGAGCAAGTAAGCTTTAATGAGGTTAAAAGTTGTCTGTTTTTAATGATACCTTTTAAAAAGAAATGTAACAAGAAATGTTTATTATCTTATTGCTAGCACTTTTATCTCTTTGCAGTGGAAATATAGTCATGCAAAATTCACAAAGAATAAACTTTCTCTGACTCTCAAGAATCTTCTCTTTCCAAGAGATTGATGACTATGATGTGTTTCACCATGAACAGCACAGCTTTCTGCTGACTTCCTTAAAAATTATGAAAGTCCATTTTATAATGTTTTTCATCTAGTCCTTTTTTTTTCTTTCTTTTTGCCTTTTCCCTTCAAGTATCCCTTCTAGAAGTAACTTTTGTAGGCTTATATGTCCAAAATATCTATTTTCTTCTTATTATCCAATTTTTCTTCTCCTTTATTACTTTCTTACACTTTTCTTTTCTTTTGCATTTTTTAATAGTTTGATATTATTTCTTTTTTTGTCCAAGGAACCTCTAACATTCTTCTCAGAAATCACATTTCAAAGGCCTTTATATTCTCATTTGCTTTTGTTACTGTCCAAGTCTTCATTCCATATAGTAGTATTGAATAAATATAAAGCATTTGCATAATCCAGTTCAACAAAACATTTGCCAAATTTTAAATTGTCTTGGATTTGCATAGTCTTAATCTTTTTAATATTTAAGTTTTTAGTGATGAGGAAGGAGAGTTTTATATTGATGAAACCTTTTTTAACAATTTCTATTTTTAGGATTTCTTTATCAAATTTGCTATCATCAGTAATTAGAAATTTTAAGTAGATATAGCTTTTTACTTGCTCTAGCTTGTTTCTCTAGATTTTGATGTATTTAAGTTACATTTTACACTTTTTCTTGAAATTAGCATTACTTTTATCTTTCTGTAATTGAAAGTGAGTTCTGCTTCTTCAGCATGTTCTATTTTTCATTTTTCTTCTTTCTTTTCAATAAGAATTTTAAGATCTTCCTTATTTTCTATTAGAATAGTGTTATTGGTAGATATTAGATTATTTGCTTTTTCTCCTATATGTACTCTTGTAAGATCTATTTTATGAAATATAGCTCATGAATTTAGAATGTTTATGAAGAAAGAACCAGTAAAAGAACACATTCCTGTCTTATTCCTTTCTTGACTAAACTATTCTCTGATGTTTGTTGTTTTATTTTAATAGATGTTATTCTGGGTGGTAGTGTTACATCTTTGCCACCAGCTCTGTTGTTTTTTAGAGTTTTGATTAGTTTTTCATAGTTAATATTGTCAAAAGCTTTTATATAATAAATGAAACACAAGTAGACTTTCTGCTTATTAACTTTTCTTTCTATGATTGTTTTAACATGAAAGATTTCCTTCTCTTTTTCTTCTGTTTCTTTATATATCTATATTTAGTTTGTTTTGTTTCTTTTAAGGATTATACAGAGACTGAGTTTTGTGACATGTGAAAGTTATGTCTAAGATATTCAGCCTTTGTCTTTGACAGGATATTCAATGTCATAAATAGTCCTAAATTATTCTGTTAAATACCAAGTGTTTTTATCATTTAGGACTTTTAACCATTATTTCCTTATTTTGTTGTTTATCTTCTTTCAGTTTTTTAATGGCATTTGCAGTCTCACAGGTAAACCTTTTATATTACTTATATGGAGACGGATATTGTTTTTATTTTGATATTTTTATATTTTTCTTATGTATTTTATCTTCTTAAAATGTTATTCCTATTCATTATCATTCTGTTGTCAATATCTCTAATGCAACTACTTTACTAATTTTTAATTTTGTACATGAAATGTGCCAGAAAAATTTTTTACTTTTTACAGTGTGCCATGAACTAAAAAATTTGCAAACTACTGCACTAAAGTAACAAAAAGAAAAAGACACTACTATTAATCAGAGTTGAACAAGCAAATAAAATTTAGGGATTTGATTATGATGGCATTGTGTAACTATTGATATTAATTCTAATGTTGAGTTTAAAATCCTATTTTATGTTTTATAATGTATTCAGTCATCAAATATATGTTGGCTAACATTGCATTCAGTTTTATATTGTCCATGCAATGTCCTTCTTTCTTATACAAGAAAGCTGGTAGCCTGTCACAAAATGTGTCCTATATTATGTTGTTTGCTATCATACTTTCTATGGCTTTGCCATAAACTTCATGATCATCTTCCACATATGCCATTTCAGTCTTTAAAGCACTTGGAGGTGATATATTAAGCCTATTTACCTCTCATATGTCTGCCATATCTGAAGAAGCAATTGCATGACTATCCACCACCTACAGATATGCCTAATAGAGGCCATGTCCCAGGATAAAATTTAGCAGAATCAAATAACTTAGTTTATTTACTCTTTGAAAATTCAAATGTGTATCAAAAGAGCAATCAATTATCAGCAATTATTTCAATCAATTATTATTTATTTATTACATTAAATAATTCCAAATATATCTATGATTGATTACATGGTTTTTTAACAGTGTCATCTAAAAATAATCCTCTTGAGAGTTTTATAATTGAAATTTTCTTGAATTTGAGGGACTTTGTCTTCTCATAATGGTTAAGCTGTAATGGTGAATGGTAATACAAAAATTCTTTGTTTACTGTGGTTTGTTTGCTAGCATTATTAGTGTAATAAAATAGATTGTTGCATAGATAAAAGAATTACTTACATAATTTTAAATGTAACATTAAATTATAGAAATTAAATATAACAATTATTTTTCAAATTTGTTTCTTAAGAAGAAAAATTGTTTAAACAACTTTTTATAAAATTAATTTATCTCCCTTTTTTTTTCTTTACCACTACTGGCATATTTACCAATCACTTCAATAGTTGTGTCCATATGCACTGACATCAAGACCATTCCTACCAGAGAATGTTTAAAAAGTGTCTGTTAAACAGCTTTTCATTTTCCTTAAATTGGAACACTTCTTTCAGCTGTTGTTGCAGAAATAAGAAAAAACAGTTGACATCTTGAGCAAACCTTTAGATATTAGGAAATGTTTGTTACAAAAAGCATTTTAATATTTTCTCAGAAAATGAAAACTGTACAGAAGATATTATTCTGCTGTACAGTTTGTATAAAATACCATGTTTACTCAAAAAATTTGCATCCTTAAGAAATCCTGTGCACCTCATTTTTTAAGATTTAAAAAATCTTTATTGGTTTAATTTATTACATATTTAACAAATTTTACTAATTTATGGTTGTAATACAATAGCAAATTTCACTCTTGCTGTTTTGTATTCAATAGCATTCAATATGGCAACACTTAGTTTACAAGTCTACATGGTATTAAAAGATAAAAATACCAAGAGAAAAATAATTTATATGATAAACATAAATTATATGCAAATTATATTAATGTATTTTATAATGAATTAACTTACTAATTACATGAAAGTAAGACTTCTTTATGTTGTATAATTTGAATTGAATTTGAAAAATTGCTAATAGACCAATATCTTAAACTAAGAGTAAAAATATTGAAGAATACAAAAACAATTTTGTCTTCATAATTCATTGTTTCAGTCGCCATTGACAATTCAAAATACATAAAAGTTCACTTACAGAGATGACCTTTTATTTGTTTTTTAATGGTATCTGTAACCAGAGGATGTTTTTAATCAATTTACATGTTTTTGCAGAGGCATAGTTTCAAATAAAAGATCATCTCTGTAAGTGAACTTTTATGTATTTTGTATCATCAAAGGTGATTATGGAATGACATATTATGAAGTCAAAAAACTTTTTTGCATTTTTTCAATATTTTACTATGTAAATTACTGTCAGCCATTTTTTTAAATTAAACTAAGAGGTAATATAGCTATATAAAGATTATTTACTGTCAGTTTCAGTTGTATATTTAATTTACTTATTATCCTCATTTTCACAAAATTAGTTGTGCCAAAACATTTAATATTACTTGTAGATATTGGCTACATTTATCACTACAATAGTAAGCAAAATGCATATTAACTGGAAGCTCCCTGAACTTTGCAGATGGTGTGACCAAATTTGTTTCCAATAAACTGTGCACTCTAATGGTTTGTTGTGAAGTTTTGGAAAAAGTGTGAAGATTGTTTGAGTAAATACAATACTATTAATTACACAATAATCATGGTTTAGAAAATCTTTTTGAATAAATATAGTTAAATTAAATTAGAAATTAAAAAGCTTAATATTGAAAAAGATGCTTCTGTAGTACTCTTGCACATCTAAATTTGTGCCTATTATTTTGGAGTAATTATACTGGTTTTTTAGTTTAATCTGTCTTATTTAAAGAATTTACTTTTTCAGATATAATTTTTGAAATTACTTGTTTAATGCATAATTAATATTGCTTTTTATATAGAAATTAGCTTTGAAATGTATTAGGGCCTTGCGTTATAAGAAAAAAGAAGACCGTGGTCCTTTACAATGCAGAATATGTAAAGATAAAAAGTTTACTGCTCAAGCTACATTGATGTATCATTATAGAAGTCATGCTGGTAAGATTAAGTTAAATAATCTGTTGTTTAGTTCACTAAAAATGTTTTAAAAGTTCTTTGTGAACTTTTTAAAATCTTAGAGTAAAAATTATTATAATAATAATTTATATTTGTACAGGATGAATTGTATACTATTAATTGATGAAATAATGCAATTGTTTTTAATAATAATGTAACAATCTTTCTTGTTTGATGATTACTTTTTGTTGTATATTTTAGGTCAATTTTGAAAGTTATTTTTATAGTAGTGAATATTACTAGCTCATAGAATAGAAAACTAGCACTTTAATTATAGGTGTACATTTTCAAATTCAAAATATTCCATGATTATGTTATATAAAAAAAATCTTGGGTAGTAAAAATTTTTCAAGACATACTGTTTTCTTTTTACATCCCCCTCTAAAGATTTCTGGATCCACTACACTAAAAGTATAGAAAGTGAAATATCTATAAGAAACTAGGAGCCTATAGATATAATCATGGCATTTTCTCTCTGTTTTTGGGCCAGGATACCCCCACCTTTCTACAGCTCTGTTGGTAGTTGGTCACAGATTATACCTCACCAACAGGCTGGTAATGCAGAGTTTTCTGGGTTTTCATGTTTTTAATACTTAAACAGGGACCATTTACCATAGAAAGTCTTTTGGGAGTCATCCCCTTGGCAGATTGCTTATGTTTTGAATTGCCTTATTCTATCAATCCAGTTCAATTCTCATTGGATGTGGGTACAGCAAACAATCATAACATCTGGAAGAAAGTATAGACATACATAGTAATCTTGACTATATACAGCAAAAAATCCATGTGGGATGGCAAATTATTGCCATGACAATATCATGTGGAAGGCTCCATAGAAATCATTTAATGGTAATTTATAGTGCCTTGGCTAACTATGGTCATAGTTTTAAACAAGATCATGTGAAAGCAGCTGTACACACACTGCAACCATATTACAAAACAGACTTATCTATGATTATGGTTCAATCATGGCATATTTTGTGTGTTGTTGTGAAAACAACAACACACAAAATATGCCATGATTGAACCATAATCATAGATAAGTCTGTTTTGTAATATGGTTGCAGTGTGTGTACAGCTGCTTTCACACGATCTTGTTTAAAACTATGACCATAGTTAGCCAAGGCACTATAAATTACCATTAAATGATTTCTATGGAGCCTTCCACATGATATTGTCATGGCAATAATTTGCCATCCCACATGGATTTTTTGTTGTATATAGTCAAGATTACTATGTATGTCTATACTTTCTTCCAGATGTTATGATTGTTTGCTGTACCCACATCCAATGAGAATTGAACTGGATTGATAGAATAAGGCAATTCAAAACATAAGCAATCTGCCAAGGGGATGACTCCCAAAAGACTTTCTATGGTAAATGGTCCCTGTTTAAGTATTAAAAACATGAAAACCCAGAAAACTCTGCATTACCAGCCTGTTGGTGAGGTATAATCTGTGACCAACTACCAACAGAGCTGTAGAAAGGTGGGGGTATCCTGGCCCAAAAACAGAGAGAAAATGCCATGATTATATCTATAGGCTCCTAGTTTCTTATAGATATTTCACTTTCTATACTTTTAGTGTAGTGGATCCAGAAATCTTTAGAGGGGGATGTAAAAAGAAAACAGTATGTCTTGAAAAATTTTTACTATCCAAGATTTTTTTTATATAACATAATCATGGAATATTTTGAATTTGAAAATGTACACCTATAATTAAAGTGCTAGTTTTCTATTCTATGAGCTAGTAATATTCACTACTATAAAAATAACTTTCAAAATTGACCTAAAATATACAACAAAAAGTAATCATCAAACAAGAAAGATTGTTACATTATTATTAAAAACAATTGCATTATTTCATCAATTAATAGTATACAATTCATCCTGTACAAATATAAATTATTATTATAATAATTTTTACTCTAAGATTTTAAAAAGTTCACAAAGAACTTTTAAAACATTTTTAGTGAACTAAACAACAGATTATTTAACTTAATCTTACCAGCATGACTTCTATAATGATACATCAATGTAGCTTGAGCAGTAAACTTTTTATCTTTACATATTCTGCATTGTAAAGGACCACGGTCTTCTTTTTTCTTATAACGCAAGGCCCTAATACATTTCAAAGCTAATTTCTATATAAAAAGCAATATTAATTATGCATTAAACAAGTAATTTCAAAAATTATATCTGAAAAAGTAAATTCTTTAAATAAGACAGATTAAACTAAAAAACCAGTATAATTACTCCAAAATAATAGGCACATATTTAGATGTGCAAGAGTACTACAGAAGCATCTTTTTCAATATTAAGCTTTTTAATTTCTAATTTAATTTAACTATATTTATTCAAAAAGATTTTCTAAACCATGATTATTGTGTAATTAATAGTATTGTATTTACTCAAACAATCTTCACACTTTTTCCAAAACTTCACAACAAACCATTATAGTGCACAGTTTATTGGAAACAAATTTGGTCACACCATCTGCAAAGTTCAGGGAGCTTCCAGTTAATATGCATTTTGCTTACTATTGTAGTGATAAATGTAGCCAATATCTACAAGTAATATTAAATGTTTTGGCACAACTAATTTTGTGAAAATGAGGATAATAAGTAAATTAAATATACAACTGAAACTGACAGTAAATAATCTTTATATAGCTATATTACCTCTTAGTTTAATTTAAAAAAATGGCTGACAGTAATTTACATAGTAAAATATTGAAAAAATGCAAAAAAGTTTTTTGACTTCATAATATGTCATTCCATAATCACCTTTGATGATACAAAATACATAAAAGTTCACTTACAGAGATGATCTTTTATTTGAAACTATGCCTCTGCAAAAACATGTAAATTGATTAAAAACATCCTCTGGTTACAGATACCATTAAAAAACAAATAAAAGGTCATCTCTGTAAGTGAACTTTTATGTATTTTGAATTGTCAATGGCGACTGAAACAATGAATTATGAAGACAAAATTGTTTTTGTATTCTTCAATATTTTTACTCTTAGTTTAAGATATTGGTCTATTAGCAATTTTTCAAATTCAATTCAAATTATACAACATAAAGAAGTCTTACTTTCATGTAATTAGTAAGTTAATTCATTATAAAATACATTAATATAATTTGCATATAATTTATGTTTATCATATAAATTATTTTTCTCTTGGTATTTTTATCTTTTAATACCATGTAGACTTGTAAACTAAGTGTTGCCATATTGAATGCTATTGAATACAAAACAGCAAGAGTGAAATTTGCTATTGTATTACAACCATAAATTAGTAAAATTTGTTAAATATGTAATAAATTAAACCAATAAAGATTTTTTAAATCTTAAAAAATGAGGTGCACAGGATTTCTTAAGGATGCAAATTTTTTGAGTAAACGTGGTATTTTATACAAACTGTACAGCAGAATAATATCTTCTGTACAGTTTTCATTTTCTGAGAAAATATTAAAATGCTTTTTGTAACAAACATTTCCTAATATCTAAAGGTTTGCTCAAGATGTCAACTGTTTTTTCTTATTTCTGCAACAACAGCTGAAAGAAGTGTTCCAATTTAAGGAAAATGAAAAGCTGTTTAACAGACACTTTTTAAACATTCTCTGGTAGGAATGGTCTTGATGTCAGTGCATATGGACACAACTATTGAAGTGATTGGTAAATATGCCAGTAGTGGTAAAGAAAAAAAAAGGGAGATAAATTAATTTTATAAAAAGTTGTTTAAACAATTTTTCTTCTTAAGAAACAAATTTGAAAAATAATTGTTATATTTAATTTCTATAATTTAATGTTACATTTAAAATTATGTAAGTAATTCTTTTATCTATGCAACAATCTATTTTATTACACTAATAATGCTAGCAAACAAACCACAGTAAACAAAGAATTTTTGTATTACCATTCACCATTACAGCTTAACCATTATGAGAAGACAAAGTCCCTCAAATTCAAGAAAATTTCAATTATAAAACTCTCAAGAGGATTATTTTTAGATGACACTGTTAAAAAACCATGTAATCAATCATAGATATATTTGGAATTATTTAATGTAATAAATAAATAATAATTGATTGAAATAATTGCTGATAATTGATTGCTCTTTTGATACACATTTGAATTTTCAAAGAGTAAATAAACTAAGTTATTTGATTCTGCTAAATTTTATCCTGGGACATGGCCTCTATTAGGCATATCTGTAGGTGGTGGATAGTCATGCAATTGCTTCTTCAGATATGGCAGACATATGAGAGGTAAATAGGCTTAATATATCACCTCCAAGTGCTTTAAAGACTGAAATGGCATATGTGGAAGATGATCATGAAGTTTATGGCAAAGCCATAGAAAGTATGATAGCAAACAACATAATATAGGACACATTTTGTGACAGGCTACCAGCTTTCTTGTATAAGAAAGAAGGACATTGCATGGACAATATAAAACTGAATGCAATGTTAGCCAACATATATTTGATGACTGAATACATTATAAAACATAAAATAGGATTTTAAACTCAACATTAGAATTAATATCAATAGTTACACAATGCCATCATAATCAAATCCCTAAATTTTATTTGCTTGTTCAACTCTGATTAATAGTAGTGTATTTTTCTTTTTGTTACTTTAGTGCAGTAGTTTGCAAATTTTTTAGTTCATGGCACNTATTATTGTGGTTAAACATTTCAGCAATGTGATTATATAAGGTAGTTGCATCAGAAGCCCTTAATTTAACAAGACCAAAAAAACTATCTTGAATAACGTCATCTTTTAAATACCTTACAACTAAGCATAAGTGTTTTATTGTGCTCCGATCCGTTGATTCATCCACGATAAGGGAAAATTTCTTATTTCGTAAATCTTCACAAACCTGAAGAAAACCCTCATTACCAGTAATGTATTTCACAATGGCTGTTGTTTTGGTTCTGCTGTATGCCAATCTTTGAACAATTTTCAAGTCGGG